TTTTCATTTACATAACTATTGTTGTAACCAGCTGCTATTTTAAGGAACAATATTGTTTTACATAATTTACAAAACCTAATTTTTTTTGTCTATATTTTAAGTGGCAAGCAATATGGCTATGGAATGTTTACAAACACAACTTTAAATCATTTAATAATAGGTTCAAGTGTACCATGAGACAAAAAAAAGGTTGAAACCCCTCTCCTAGATTAACAACTATTTAGTGTGTGTAAGAAATAAAGTTCCTAACAAAAGTAATAGATGGTTTTAAGAGGGAGAGATTAAAAGAAAGTAAGGAGTAAAACAACAAACAGGGTTTGATTTCATGGATATGAAAGGAAATAACACTAAATGGTATGCAGAAAACTGTAGAGAATAAAAGACAACTAAGATGATACAGGTGTAATTAAATATAGACATGTGGCAAGATTGTTGTATTGACGCACAAATGAATTTAAAGGATTAATGGATTATGAGAATAGAGAATTTCATAAATGTTTGAAACAACAATGAAGGCTACAGAGGAAGAGCATGTGAAAGAAAAAATTGTCATATACAAACATCTGAAAGCCCGATGTTATAAGCCAAACAATTACCTAATCCGGTAGTTGTTTTTTACAGAAAAGTAACCCAAAAAGTAATCAGTCTACTTTTCTGCAATTATGTAAATTAATTTCTAAATAATTTGTCACTAGAGGGAGTTTTAATAAGAAGCCAAACAATTGCTGTTGTAAGATGTTCAATGTGAAAGGAATTGTAATAAAGCATGATATCCAAGGAACAACTTTAATTTCACAGTAGAACAAATTATTATTTACAGGTCCCGATCTTTGCACACTTCCCAGATTTCTCTGTGATAATACAAACAAATGCATAATTCTTTGCATAATTGATTCCATTACAATTATCAATCTGATATTATTAACATACAGTAATACGTATCCTACGATTGCAGATCAATTCGTAACCTACTTACCTACTATCTTTCATTTAGTTTTTATAGATAGAAGGGAAAGGAGGAAGTATTGATAGGATGGGGTACCCAAATTATTGGTGAATAACTTGGTGTGATTGCTCTTTTCCAACTTCCACGTCCTGGCGGAGGTTCTCTTCTGAACCCTTTCATCTCTTCAAAAATATGATTTCTCCGAGGAAAATTTATCTCAGTCTGGCTTTTTTTCTCATGAGTCTCCTACTGAGGCCCGACTTACCAGCTCTGGTCGATCTCAAAAAACTCAGTGTCTTACTGGTACATGACTGTGTCCGGCCAAAGAATGTCCTCCTGAAACGAGGTTTTGCCCTCAGGGCTTCCTTGGGAAGGGTTGGGTCAGAATTTCTTAGACTTACCAGAAACAATAGAACAAAGGAAAATGGACAGACAGGATTAAGAGATAAAATATGAAATTAAAATTATACAAAAAAAAAATGGCTTACTGCCAAGCTTTATTGAATCTAGATACTTTACCACTACTATTAATAACTAAGTTTGAAGTTATTTGGTACTAGAGGTAGGTGTTAGGTGCCATCTCTTATTTAATTTAATAATTACAATCAAATTAATATTTATTAAATAATAATAGATGGAACCTAATGCCTACCTCTAGTACCAAATTACTTCAAATTTAATAATAGTAGTGGTAAAATAGTCAGATTCAATACAGCAATCATTTGGTTTATTATTAAAAAAATTGCCCTTCCACTTGTATAGTACATTTTTGAAACTAAGTTTTTAAAATTATTCAGGAACTGATGTGAATTGAATCCTTTTGATTCATCTTGGAGTGATTTGGAAGTCTGTCTGATAAAACTCAAATTGGTTGAAATTATTGGACTTATCAACATGAACAGGGTATGTGTATTTTTTTTTCCTGTACACACATCCCTCAAATATCTCTACCAGCTATACTTATTAAGAAATCTGATAGATCTGTTTCTACAGACTTTTTTTCTGTTTAATACAGGGGGAGGAACAGAGTCAGCAACTGATCTCCACCTCATTGTTTATATTCTGATGCATCATAGATCAAATTAGGTTTTCCACACAAGCAAGATTAGAGTTCTTTTCAGATAGTGAGAGACTTTGGAAAATGAAACATTAAGAAAGACTTTTTCAAATGTAATTTATTCTAGACACCGTTCCATGTAATTTTTTTATAGCTGCATGGTGCAGAAATGCACCTAAACAAAAAAATTTTACAAGATTAAATATTACAGTATTTTTACAAATTGTTTTCCTTATAAATAAGGACAAATATAATAACAATGTTAACAGTAAATTTGCACTTCAGTTATTTTTCTTTGGATTTTTCTATTCTTTGTAGAAGTCCAGTTTTGTAGATGTCATCTACATTTATTATTGTATTGTTAGCTAAAATGAAATTTGATTTTCGTAACTTAAAATGATCTGTTTGTAGCTTATTTTGACTTCTTGTGTTAATTCTTAGTTCTAAATCCTTGCTCTAAATGTGCTTAATGCTTGAAATGTTCCCATAACATAGAGAATGGATGTTACAAAACTCTTAGGTATGAAATTTCAAAGTGTCACTGAAAGCTTTGTGATTCAGTTTTACTTTCCTGGTTATCATGTATACATAACAAGGGAAAGTATGGGAATCATGTGAAATTGGAGAGAAATGGATGCTCTAATTATTGGGGATCTGATTATTCATGGAGATTGAGCAATGTGCTTAGAAAGAAAATGCAGAGGTATAGGTGAGGCATTATTCTAGCATGAGTAGTATAGTTTTCAGCTTAAGATAAGCGCACTAGATCAATCTTTGTTCTCTGACAAATCTGAGAGATACTGGAAATATACAACAAAAAGTCTGTTTGCTTCATAATCTTGAGAAGGTGTATACTTGTAACAGTTCCTTGAGATAAGTAGTACAGGAATATGGAATCCATTAAATCTGTATGAATGCTTGAAGATGTGTTTGTATAAACTGTGATAAGTATAATATAACTTTCAGTATAAAACTTTGATTTTGATAGTATTCCTCTGTAACCTATTTTGTTCATTGTTTATATGACGTGATAGATGCATTAAGGAAAATTGTTCTTTTAGAAACTATGCTGTTGGATGATCTGATTCTGCTCAGTCACTGAAAGCAATCTTCAGAATTGTGATTGATAAGTTTGCAGCTATTTGTGTTGATGCTGGAGTGAAAAATAAATATGCCAAAGACAGAAGTATTGCTAATGTCAAGAAATCATGTTCAATGTATTCTCCAGCTAAACACTTAAATTTGAGTTAGTTGAGGTATAAATATTTAGGAATTACATTTGAGTGATAGAAAGTAAGGCTGAAATAGACACCTAAAGTGACTGAGAAAGTACCACACTATGAAACTAAATTGGTCAGTATTCACACAACATTAAGTTCTTATATCCTTTTCAACCAGAGGAAAAACACTATTATCAAAACATAAGAACAAATTTTATTTGTAAATTTTCTTGTTTATTATGAAATTGTGTTACTTGTACATGCAATTTTTTTTTTCAAAAATGATTGATTGTACTTGAAATTCTTATCTGATTTTTCATTAGTTGCTTCAGATTATATTGAAAAATAGTTAATCTTATTTGGTAATAATTGTCCATTTCTGTTATTAGTTAATATTATTGGTTCAATATAATTGCTAGCCTATGAAGATTTCTTGAACTTACTATGTAGACATAATCCATGGTTTGTATGACAAATATCAAAGATATTCATTATTGTAAAAATAAACGTTAAGTTTAAAAGATATTTTTGTAAAAATTATTCTATTTACAACAAACCTTTCATTATAAAAATTTGGTTTTGTAAGATGCTTTAATTTTGGGTTCACTGTTTTGCTTAGTCTTTTTTGTGTTTATATTCTAAGTTTATCACTTCCAAATGTTAGCTGGGTCACCCATACTTTTGAGTTACTAAGTTGTGATTTTAATTCTCGGATAGAGAATTAAAATCACAAAATCAAGTCAAGCTTAACAAATGTCAGTTTTTTATAAATTGAAGTTGTATTTGTTAGGTTCATACACTTATTTTGAATGCTGCTATGTAGTGTTAATTGTGCCTGCCTTTTCATAATCACTAATGTGTGAGACTTATAATACTATCACACATTTCTTGTGTAATAATCTGCAAAACTTTAAGATCTGAGTCTACATAATTCAAGGCATTAATGCCTGAATATTTCATCTTTTTAACAAGCCTGCAAAAAATAATTATATGGATTAATGACTAGAGGTATTGGTAATGAGTCATAACCAACATTGAATTTTTTGGATAGCAATGAGAAATTGCATGCTCTTAAAGTATGACATTAAGAAAATTCAAAGCCTTGTTTGGTGTGTAAGGTGTAGCCATAACCTGCATGAACCACATTGCTTCAGTATCTTGTTTTGCTTTTATATTTGTACAAAACCACTTAAGAATATAGATGCTTTGTTCAATACTAATTCTTGTGGGTGCCATGTTTTACAAGAACACAAATGTCCTGTCTAGGCAAATAATGAAACCAAAAGAATGACACTTCAACTTTAACTCAATTTTAAATATTTGTGCTTTTTCAGGGATACTCAGAATTAAAATCCCAACTTTTAGCTGGGACATTCTATATAAGCAAAAGTTATGTAAGAAAGTATTTATATTTTCAGCTTTTTATTTAAAAATTACTCTGGCAGTAAGTTCTACTTATGTGATAATTTATTCATTTGGTTTATTTCCTAGTGTAATCATGCAAATTGATGCTTTTGGTATCCCCAAAAAAAGTTTATTCTCAGATCTAGTCTAAAAAGAAAGTTCTGCATTTTATACTGATTTTTCAGTTTTAATAATTACATTTATCATCATTTTTTAAAATATTCTGATTTTTATAAATTAGCCTTGTTATTGAATTAGTGATTGTGTTTATTTTTGAAGAGATTTAATACCTTTCTTACATAAATTTTATTGTGTGTGTTTTTATTTAAAATACAAACCAAACTTTAGTAATATTAATACTTTATATTTTTAGTTATTGCCCAAGAAAAGAGTGCTGCTTAATGGTGTCTATATCCTGGGACCAATTTCCAGATTCTGCTCATCAGTAACTTCCAGAAAATGCCATGTAATCAGTTTTCAAATAGTACTTTGCGGTGCTTGTGGCAATATCATTCATTTTCCTAATCCAGAGATTTCACAGAATTACATTCCTATGAATACTGACATGTCTTCTTGTATTAAATTTTTATAACACACATATACCAATGAATTCCATAAATGTGTATCAAATATTACTTTTTTTGTATTTAAATTGTGTAACTTTATTTAAAAAGTATTAACTGGGAAATCTCTGATTAGATAAAAATTTTGTGATCTAAGTGTTAAGCATTTTGAAAGTATTATTTTCCACGGTTCGTGTGACCAAACATAAAGTGTGCCTTTATTTTGTACTAGTCGGGATATTTAGTTCCTTTCCATATCTGAGAAAGAGACATTGTGCAAATAAAATTTTTTCAGTACTATTTTCAATAACCTTCGTACTAAAGTGGATGTGGTCATTTTCTAACGGGATAATGTCACTTTTTTACTATGAAATTTTGCTGATTTTTCATAATGCTATTAAAATCACTTTGGTAGTTCAATTTTTTGTAAAACTATTGATAATTTTTTGTAAACTGTTGGTAATTTGTATGTAAAAGCCACAATTTTCAATAAATGACTAATAACAAAAACTGTTTTATTTTTAAATGGACAAGTATTACAGGCAAACTGGCTTCACTTTCTCATTGAAAAACACCTTAAAACAATTTGACACTCTAGTTCAATTAACACAAAAACACTGTTCGAGACAGCTTTATACTAATAATTTTCTCAATTGTGAACCAACCTAAAACTTTTCATATTTGCTGTTAATTAAAATAAGAGACATAACTTTAGATGTAAAACTGATTACATGTTCAAATCCTAAACTCAAGTTTCACCCACAATTTCCAATCTAGTTAAAACTTCGCATTCGTATGTTTTCCAATGAGAATATATTTTTTAGTTTGCAATTTCAGCAATTGGCAAACGATTACGGAAAAATCAAAATCAGTATAACACTGGTTTAAATGAAGCGTCAATGTGTGTGTGTGTAATATAACTTGACAAATTAAGATATTTCAAACGACTTGGAATAGTGAAGTCTATTGTTGTCACTTTGTCAACAATAGACTTCACTGTCGTTGTTCGGTGAACTTTAACTGAAGTGAAAGAAACCTGTCCTACCATAGTAATGAAGTCTGTCAAAGTATTGATGATTGCAAAGGAAAAACACAAAATCGTGATGAAATGTCACGACCAGTTCATGAAGTCATAGCTGGGTAAAAGGTAATTTCCGGGTCAATCATTGAGAAGACCTTGTAGAGAAAAGGTTGATGATCTTCTGGAAGAAATAATCTTCCACCAAGGCTTCTTTTTACACTTCTTCAGAATCTATTTACACTCCTCTTCGAGTCACTAGTGTGCCTGTCTCTTCACCGACAATTGCGAAACTTCGGAGTATCTCTGTTCCAGGAAATTATGAAAGACGAGGTGCTTTCATTCGGAAAGAGCAAAATCACCCGTTTCTTATCGGGTTTACGACATTCCGTCTTTCCACACTCCACCACTTCTTTTGGACTCATGCGTATGACTCTAATTGAAGAGAAGGTGCATTCCTCTGGCCTGTCCTCTAGAGGTATTCATTCCATTTTCTTAATTCTTTGAAATTATCCATTAAACAAACAAAAACGAACGACTGTTAAACATTTTCAATAGATTATACTTTGAATTAAGAAAATGTTTAAAAATGAAATAAACTATCGTAATATATTACATTTTTATAAAAAAATGATCAAAGTCACATATATATAAACTATGTAATTGAACAACAACCTTTGTTGAAAATAATCAAATTATTAATCGAATCTTAATATAATAAAAGCTTTTATAAACTAATTTCCGTAAGCATTAAGTTATGCTATTCTGTTGATTGCAATTACAAATTGCAGACTTAGACGACAATGGGAATTTATTATATCCTTCCTTAATCTCGAGAACCCTGTTAGATAGATGAAAGTCAAGACCAGATACAGAAAGCATAGGGGCAGGAAGCCCAGATTAACTATATACGAACTTCCGGTCTAAACCGGGAGTCATATGAATTCAATTTAAAAATTTTCCCCTGAATGGAGTTTCGTAGATCACCCGCGTCTCTTGTTATCAGGAAAAGTATGACGTACAGGAGCAAGATACTACTAATTAGAGATGAAGAACACATAATTAAATTTATTTAATTTAAAGTATATCTTACGTCATTGTTGATTTAGTTTATTGTATCGTTGCAGCATGTACCGAAGAGGAACTAAAGCCCGAAATGCGTATACATTAAAAAATGATACTAAAACATATTGAATGATATTCTGGCCTGCCAAGTCTTTGTCATTCGAAAGAAATGTGTGTTTTTACATCGCAAATCTAAATACACGTTATTTCTGGATTAATATTATTATCCCACCCATTATTTGTATGATAAGTCTACAGTATACATTTTTATTACTAGGCTAACACGTATCAGCTGTATAATAAATGATGTAAAAAAATATTACAGTATATACAATTAAATTAAGATCTTAAAAGTGATATAACATTTAAATCTACGTAGTACATTCGTAATTTCTGTCCGAGATATCATCGGTTGACCCTACCTCGGATAATACAGGTTCTACTGTATACATGTATTATTCGAATTCTGTTAAATGTAAATTTTAATAATTTTCTGTTTTATTTCGTGGAGGAAATTATTGTCTAAATTCAGAGAATTCTTAATTCGTATATCTCTGAAATTTGAAATGATGCAATTCAACACAAAATCCAGGCACCAGGAGGTTTAATAATGACCGCTACTGTAAAATATAAAAGTTTGATTGAAAAATTATCGTATTTTTAAAATTAAATAAAATATCAATAAATATTATTATTTATTAGGCCTACATAATATTATAAAGTTAAAATGCGACTGTTTAAAATTTTTAAATAAATTTTTATCTTTAAATGAAAGTGACTTACTAATATAATTTATATTTTTTGAATATCTTTGTTAAGTATTTTATAAAAGTTAATGCAACATCAAACTGGATAAAGTTAATACAGTAGAGCATCGATTATCCGACTCAATTGGGGGACTCAGATTGGTCGGATAACTGAAAAAATCGGATAACCGAAAAGAAGGAAAAAAATACATTACTAGTATAGTATATTAGAATATTCGTATATCACATGTAATTAGTTTATTAGTATATCGCTATTAACCAACTTCGCGTTGAATTTTCATCGATGTTTAGCCTAAAAAAAATTTTTTAAATAATAATCGTCGCTATTGTATCGTTAACAATTATTTTAAAATTATTTTATTGCTCACGAAACAAACAACCACTCATAATTAGAAAATTAAGTCTCGTTTAAATACTGACATCCCTTCAATGGTCGAGCCGTTGATGCCAGCTAAAACACGCAAAAATTTAACAAAAATAATATTAAAGTAGCCAAGACGTAGCCAAATATTGTAATGCCACATCACTAGCAGACATTTGAAATTTGCCGACTAGAACGGTCGGTTAACCGATATAACGGTTAATCGGGGGTCGGATAATCGATGCTCTACTGTATTAAAAATAGCGAAAAACCTTTATAACACGGCGGAGTGAAAATGAAGTCGGAGACAAGGGAGAAACCGGCACAGAGGGTAAACAGACTGAGCCGGGGAAAAGCAACCATTCTTTCTGCTTGACTTTCTGGCTTTTTAAAGGATCTCTCCCCTAAATTCTTAATTTGATGGGTTAATCATTTTGACACTTCCATTCGACTTGATCCAACTTTGAAACTTTCGCTTGTATCTCACGCCATGATATTTTCTTTTCTGATACGGCTGAGAATTTGTTTTGTCTTCATTACTTACAAGGCGACAATTTTGCTTTCGGAGGAATACTACATTTATTTGCAAATTTTGGCATGTATACCAGAGTCAGAGTTTTCATTCGACATTCTAAACATTGCAATTCGTTAGTTCGCGTCGACCCGTCACCTCGGGGCTGCAATTTGCAAAAATTCCTAGTGTCCTCTGTCCGTCTGTCTTAATTTAATCTCGAGAACGGAGTTAGATGAAATCCGAGACCAGATATGGACAGGAGGCTTTAATCAACTATATATGAACTTCCCGTGCAAACCGGAAGTCACGTTTTTTCAATTCAAAACTCCTCCGAAAGCAGTTAATAGATGACCGGCACGACTCTATTGTTAAAGAAAAAGTATAATGTACAGGGGCAAGCCACTACTAATTTGAAGTGGAGAGCGTATATTTTAAATTAAATGATTTAAAAATATGATTAAAAATTGAAGTTTTGCATTGTGACCATTTCACTATAAATAGTTGCTGGTAGTTATAGTTTGTGAAATCTTTGGTTTCAACTTCTGAAAATATTTACAATGAAAAAGCACATTTTGACCTTTGTCATGTTACGAACCGCAATATTGAAGTTAAAATCATTATATGAGGAAATAAGGAAGTAATAACTGTGGGAAATGGAAGAAGCGTTGCATTTGTCCATCAAAAATAGACAAATAAAACATGCCAGTAAGTGCGAGAGACTGATATGTAGAAACTACACCATCAGGATGTGTTCAAATTGTGCACTGTATCTATCATTGTACATAACAAAAGTACATTAAGACGAACTAAGCTTTTGTTCGTTATGTCGGAGACACTAAAGCCGTGAGCCCGAGTAGGGATTAGAAAATTACCAATCCGAAATGCATTCTTAAATAGGCGAAATAAAGAAAACTGTTTTAATCTCGGTCTCTGCTAGTTGTGCATAATTAAGAAAGACGTGATAAATATTACTAGTCTTTCTATTGGAAGAAGAAACCTTCTCTTATAACTTTTTATACGCCCTCCAGCCTGACGAAATATAGAGTATGTCTCCTCGAAGTTAACTACCGTCCTTTTCCCGAAGTCTTTGTACATTTCTAACCTTTCAAGTTGTTTCGGCCGAGGCACTATTTTTTCTCGATGGAGTCTTTTTCATTCCTAAGGAGTGAGGAAATTGTAGGGTTTTTCCAAAATCTTACAATTTCCTCACTCCTTAGAATTCTGTGCTTACTACATCGGGTTATCTCCTTATAGATGGAACAGAGGGCCTTCTCGTAGGTGACTACCACACCGTGTGATAGAACTGCCTGGGCTGAAACATTCGGAAAGCAGAGATATCTACAAACTGTTCGGGATAAGAACGGCATGAACATACATAGTCCATTTATATGTTACTGTAGGTCTAGTATTATACAATTTAGCAAAATCGCTGTAACTCTGATGTTATAAACAATAATGTAACGAAACGATGACGTCATCAATGTTTATATCAAAATATATTTTAAATTATGATCATGTTACTGAACGCCGAATCGTCATAAAAAGTTTTAATTGGCATAAATTTAAGCCTTTGTAATTTTGAGTAACATTTCGAATAAAATTCGTTTGTTTCCATGCAATTTTATTCTTATAAGCAATACCTTACACAAGTGTCTGCGAACAAACAAAAAAATCTCTTAGTCAAAACATAATCTTAAATATCAGAAAAGCAAAAAGCCGAACTTAATTATTAACTATAATTTGCATACACTGTACTTATGACTTTGTTAAATAAAATATATTAGGCT